ACTAGAGTAGTGTCCTTGGAAACAGGATTGGACACACACACACACACTTGCTGTGTGCTGTTCCGTGAGAAGCCAAACCAGTCAATGAGATGAGTTTTTTGAGGTGCAAAAGATCATGGAGGGTTTCCTGGTCATTGATCCCAGCAAAGAAACCTTTCATTGCTACTACTTCGAGCACAAGGGCGGTGGAATGTCAGTGCTGGTGCCGCTAAGCAGTCTATTGGAATATTCAACAAGGAGCGCCATGGTGCCATGCTAGTCTCTCAGACATTTGCCTTCTGGTTCAATTGGACTTTTTTACTGGGACAAGCAGAAACAAACCCCTGCAAGGGGTGTGTAAACAGTAGGCCGCAGAACTAGTCGGAGGGGTTCAGCAAGCTTTTCCGGGTAGGGTCCACGAGCGTGTTGGGCGGGGAAACACACGTGCAGACGCGGCTGTGCCTTGAGGTGGAATGGGTGTGTGGGTGGAATTGGGTGTATATAGACTCAGACTTTACCATTGGATGTGAAATGTGTTTTGCAATTCCACCAATCACTTCCAGCTGCAAAAACAGCTTGTTTTCTTTCCTTGCTACTGGATTGCCTTGCTTCTGGGCCACAGGAGCTGGATGTCATTGGACAACTGGGATGCAACATCCAGAGAAGCCACAACCCTGCGAGGCTTTCTAGATCAGTGCCTTGACAGATGTCTGAGTTGGCAAATCAGATGAAGGGATGCTCTGGAGTCTGGAGTGCCACTTTGTTTAAACCTTTACTTTTATCAATCTACACCGACGCCCGTGTTTACCCGCAAAGACTTCCTACAAACTACTAGTAAATGAGGTCTTCTCTCAGCCCCATATGTTGAGCACTTTTCACTTCCATTTGGTGCCCCAGGATGAACTGCATCCTAGATGCTGAACATGGGCTAGTAGCTGCTACTGTGCAGCTGCATCTGGCTGGGCACCCAAAGTTCCAGGAAGTCAAGAAGGTGCACTGGCTTTTTGCGTTTCTGCTCAGATTGACACCAAACATATCCTCCTGTTCTAGATCGCCTTTGATTGGGTGGTGGTGAAGAGAACGTTCCAAGTATATATGATTAGCCACTTCATCCTGCTGGACTCCTCCGAAGGGATTGCTCTTTTTCTGTTTCCGGATCCTGCCAGGGCCTTTCTTTGGGTGTTGGAGAGTTGGACATCTTTTTCAATCTTTTGCCCTTTTTGTTTTGGGAGGTGGCCATGGAGAGCAAGTTGAAGGATCTTGCGCTGGAGCGGCTTCACCGACTTGATAAGTGGAAGCATCAGTTGATGGCCAGCTTGGAAGCAGCGCCCTTGCTGGGTCTTGTTCCAAGAGGTGGGAGTCAGTGGGAGCTGGAGTCAGTCGTTGGTCGCAATGATCCTCAGGGTCGTTCATCATATGTGCCAATTCACATCGGCAGCTTGGGAACATCAAGTAAGGCTGAAGTAGCCACATCAATTGCCTTATTGCGTGGTATACATCTGATCAAGAATGCATTTTTTGGGGCCCATGTTTGCAGCATGTTTTGAAGGGGGGTGCAGTCAAGCCGTTGCTGCGGTCATAGTCGAGCAAGGTGACAAACAGAGCGTTGATATGTACGTGAACTTTTCAGACTTGCCCCACTTTTAACAGTCAGTGGGTGGGGCCGGGATGTATGGAAGTCCTCTATGAATTCTCCCAAGTTCTGCTGCTTTTTAGGAGTGGATTAACACTTACTTGAAATAGCTTGAAATGATGCAAAACCAATCTCAGTAATCAAGCCATGACTCACGGATTGTCCCAGCTGTTCATGGTCCGTTGGAGAGGACAATTCCACAGCTGGTTGGCTCAACTGTGCTGTGGCCCCAGCATGGACTTCCTACACTCCGTGGCCAGCACGCTTTCGTTTTGGGTGCCATGCACCCCGGTGCCTCGCTGGCAGTGCCGAAAGGCGTCGTACAATGGGGGTCGGTTTTGAAGAAAAAGGAAGAACCAACTAATAGTAACAAGTGCATCGCTGCCAGTAACAACAAGCTACTAGTAACATGTTGACTATACACGGAATTATGTATATATATATATGTATATACACCCCCTGTGACATATAGAAAAGTAAATCCCCACTGAACATGCATTGGAAACCGTGCCACTATCGATTTGGGGAGCACTATACAGAAAGCACTATACAGTAATTGATTGAACGTCGCTTCGAGTCGCCTCTCATTTTTCCAGCTTCATGTGAGATCGGCTCCAGAACATGAGAAGGTGCGGGGGTTTTGATCCTTTGGACTGAAATCGGTGATGAAGTTTTGGACTGAGGAGACTTTCAAGCAGAGGCTGGAGAAAGTTGGGAGACCCATGAATCAGCCCATGTCTGCCGAGCCTTGGCAGACTTGGACACGTTGCGCTTTCATGCCACTTGATTCTTCTGGTGCATCACCCTGACCTGTGACGTAAGCTCAAACTTTACAGTTCTTTGTGTCACACTACCCTGTGTGTTTCAAGTTTCAAGCCAAGAGCCTCACAAACTCCATTTCAAGGTGCCATCAATGGTTTTCAGTTTCTTTTGACAGACGTTTCTCATATGAGGTGCAGGCACTGGAAGCCCTGTGCGTCTGCTGTGAAGATCTCCACGTCGCCTCCGTGAGATCGTCCGGTCGCGGTATCTTCCTGCAGCATGCAGAAGGAGTTCCAGAGGACCGGCGAAGACATCTGACCTTTTCGACCGATGTCTTCAGATGTTTCGAGCCGAGAGAATTTGCATAGCTCTTTCAGGGGCTGGTAGGATTCTGAAAATCCAGGTGGCCAGGTAAGTTGGTAGGTAGAAAGCAGAGAAGCATGCTTTGCTACACAGCACATCGCACCACTTCTGACACATCCCCCAAATGTCTGAATGAGCCATCATCCGGTCTTGAAGATGATGAATGATTGCTAACTCGCCGTGATCCTTTTTTTCATGGTAGCTTAGACAAGGAGCAACTGCTTCTCATGGTTGCCGAGCTCTTCTTGCTTTCGCCCCACGGCCCGAAGCGGCTTCCACGGCCTTCCGAAGTTCTCTTCGGCGATTGGAGCGTGCCCTTGAGAGAGGTGGAGGCTTGTTGGAGCCGATTCAGACGGCCTTCCCCCCCTTGCACTCTTCATGCTTGTTCTTGTCTCCTCCAGGCCTTCCTATGGCGGGTGGAGCACTTCCCCGAGATGCTCTTTGTGCTAGTGGAGCCCAGTGGCCTTCCAGCAGAGGGCAAGAAGCAGGTCGCAGACTGGCTTTGCAAGAGCAGGGTGCGGGGGTTGGACCCAAAAACCGGACTTAACGAGTGTTGCAAGGCGACTTAACGAGCATTTTTGCAAAATGTTCAATTAAGCTACTAGGAACAAGTGCATCGCTTGTAGTAACAAGTGCCTTACTAGTAGTAACAAGAAGCTATTAGTAACAATAAGCTACTTGTTCAATTCTTCTTTTTTTCTTCTCGCGCCCGGCCGAGTTTGGGTGCAGGAGTGCTCCATGGCCGTAATCTTGACCTCACCTTGGCCCTTTCCCGCAGCAGCTCAAGCACAGCCTTTGCGTTTGAACAAAAAAGCAGAGGCACAGAGAATCTGGGAGCAGCAATCTGCTCAAGTCTTGCTGTACCAGGGAGCACCCGGGCCAGGGGGTGCTGGACCATCCTCTGGGAAAAGCACTTCCATTCGACGACTTTGCAGGGCAAATGAATTGGACCCCTTGCAGTGCCATTTGCACGAAGGGTTCACAGCGAAGGACTTCATTGAAACGGAGATTCGATCAGCCATTTTTGCTGGGCAGTTTCGGCAGGTGGCCCTCCACATTGACTTAAGTGCATATAGCGACTTCCAGGTAGCGAAGACCTTTTTAAGGAATCTACTTCTATGCCAAGTTCTCTATGATGCGAGCACAGGCCAGATGGTGTCAATCCCCTTGGAGTCTACTGTGCATGTGGAGATTGGTGCATTGGCTGGAAAGCGTGATATTCATGCATTGAAGTCCTATGCCACAGAAGAGCTGCTCCACTCCAAGTTCCCGGAAGTCCCAATTGATCAGCTGAACCTGAAGATGATCTATCCGATCCTGGGGATCCTTGGCAAGGACTGCACCAATGAGGTGAGGAATGCTCCGCTGCGATGTGGCGAAGAGGCCTTTGGTGAGGTCCCAGCGCTAGAGGACGATGATGTGGAGCTCTTAGGTGTAGCGCAATCGACGCAAGCGACGCAAGCTCCAGTGCTGGCAGAGAGCCCTGCAGTGGCGCTTCGCTTGATGCATGCCTTTCTTCAGCCACATCCCTTAGAAGGGCTAGGTGGTCGCAAATTGATAGACATCCGTCCGAGTGAGGTGGAGCAACTTCAACGGCTGGCCAACTATGGTGGACCTGAGCTTGAGAAGCTGTTTCATGATCTAAGTCCCGGTGGCTTTGAGGTGGATGTGAGGCGCTTCCCAGATCCTCCCAATGCCGAAGGCACCCTGCAGGCGTTTGCGAGTCATTTTGGGCTGTTGGTGCGTCAAGAGTTCACCAAAGCTCACGAGGACCTGATTCTCCGCCGCGTCTCGATCCTCGCAGCCTTCATGGCTAGATCGTATCTCTTCAAGTCAACGGAAGATCCCTCCGTCATGCGCATTGGTTCGCTTTTGGTGGAATGTGTGGGTGTCGGACTGAAGCAACTCAGCCGGGGAGAAGAGGTTTGTATTCACTTCGTGCCGCCTTATACCGGGCGCTCCAGCGATGATTTTCAATTTTTTCTGCCAAGCCTCTCATGGGATGCAGAGAGGAGTGGACAATGTCCTCGTGGCCCAGCGTGTGAGTGCAACCGAGTGAGAAGGCAGTTGCTCCAACAGCTTCCATGTCAAGTCCTCACCGTAGATCCATCGCTGGGCATGTCCTTGGAGTCGGCCTTGGAGGACAGGGTGGCGGATGGCTCCGTCCTAACCAATCCATGTCAACGAATCATCACCTATCAGACCTATCACCCATGTAAGGATTGCATACATTCTGCACATGTTTAGTGAGGCTTTTCATCTCCGAACATGCGTGCCTTCGCAGGACGAGAGGCAAGGCGTTCAGGCCTTGAGCTGTGCATTCGGCATCGAAGCCAGACAGGTTCAGGAGCTTTTGGAGCACGAAGGCGCGCGGTGCGTCGACCGCTGAAGAGTGCTGCCAGCTCACATGGCGCCCAGTAGTGGAAAGGAATGCCCCGGCTCTTCCTTCCATGCCTTCCCAGTTTTTCACAGCTCCATATTGAAGTTGGATCGTGTAAGTTGAGCGAAGGTGTACGATGTGAGTTCAGGTGTCGACCAAGAAGAGCTCACAAGAAGCACAGTTCCTGCAACGAGCATGCCAGATGCAATCATTTGACACTAAGACATTCTCTTGGTTCTCCAGGCTACATTCTCACACGCGACTTCACGGGCCGAATCTTAGAGCTCCTAGCACGCTGGCGGTGCCGCTTACCGGTGATCCTGGTCGGCGAGAGCGGGACTGGGAAGACGCGGGCCTTGGAGCTGCTCACCCTGCTGCTGTTGGAATCCCAGCAGGTCCGCGGGGCGGATTATTGCCATTTTTTTGGGGCTCAAACATGACGGACCTTCAAACTTTTAAGTTTACTTCACTACAGTGCTGATGTTTTTGCGGGTCCTCAAGAGTCCTTTCGTTTCAATTGGAGACACACAGCAGACATGTTCGAGCCGTGAACTTAACGGATGGCCTCCGCGGCAGGTCCGTCCCAACATCCCAAAGGATGTCTACGACTACATGAGGAACAAGCTGCGCCGGGCGAAAGATCAGGCTTCAGCTGATCCCGTGGTCCAGTCACATGGCAGAGAGATTGCGAACAAGTGTACCGACAAGTAAAGGTTTCGTCCCACCGCAGGAAAGGCACATACACTGGGTCTAAAGCACACACAGCTTCATGGTATCATGGGGGAGCTTTTGCTCCAACTACGTGTCAGCTTGTTCACTTGAAAACTGCTCCTAAGGGCTGTGGAAAACGAGATGAACGTGTTGCTGGAGGAAGGCTTCACACTACAGGGCTTCAAGGCACATGGTTTCTGGCTTTGGCGGCTCCTGGGGTCGGCCGCGTCCAACAAGCGCCCCGAGCAGTTTGCCGCACGTGCCAAGACAAAACGCTCCGGACGTCTTCTTTTTTGCACGGATATGATGGAAAGGGACCGACGCCACTTGACTTTCTTGTTGGGAAACCCTAGTGCGACGGTGTCACTCGTTTGGTGAACCTGAGTCCATCGACCTTAACCCAACATGCCGGGCTTCAACATCCTGTGTGGCTCCACACCGGGCAGGATCTCCTGACCAACCCCGTGCTGTACCGCCAGAGAGCCATGGATGGTGAGCGCAATTTGCAAGCGGCTGTTCAGCTGCACAGTAACCACCTGCAAAAGAAGAGACATGAAAACACCTTCGCTGCTTAACAGTTTTTTTTCTGGATCACATGAACGTTTAACACCTTTGTTGAGCCTTAGCTGCCTTAAGATTCTAATTTCTGTTTTATTCACCTCTCTTCACCTCTTGAGGCTTTGTTCACACGTGAAGAGCTCGTGCGAGAGATGTTGAAGAAAGTTGAAGTGTCCCCTCGCTTCGACATTGGACTGCAACTCGGTCGTCCCAGAGTTGTCACCCATCGAGTAGATTCTGCGAAAGACGTGTAGGATTCCCGACTCTGAAGGTTTTGGTGAATTTCACAACTGTGCTGGTTTGGCAGGCTCCGACTGGTTGTTCCGGCAAGTTGAGGCTGCATATGCTGCTGCGAATGGGGAGCGTTCCTGATTTGGAGGACATTCAGAGGAGCAAGGACAGGTGGAGGAGAATGGATCATGCGGCAAAGGAGCAGGAAAGATCAGGAACGACCTTTGATATCTTTTGCAGGGCGGCTGGTGGTGAAGGAGATTTTGAGGCCTGCCGAGCCTCAAGAGTTGTGTGGATCTACCCAGATGATGAAAGTGCATATCCGTAATTGTAGCTCTATTGTCCCTGGATCTGCAAATCCGCAAATCATCCACTTGTGCATGGAATGTCCACAATTTTGTTGTTGCTTTTTCGGACAGACGGTCCGTAGAACTGCCTCAGGTGAATGACCAGGCCGTGCGACTTGCCTGTGATGTGGTCGCATGCTTGCCGACCAACCAGTTCTTCTTCCGAGTGCAGGCAGAGTGGAAAGTCGATGTTTCGCTGGGTTAAAAGGATTGCCATCCTTTTCGCGTTAAGTTTTGAATATGTTATTGCCCAGTGAAGCGTGGTTACATAGCTTTGCAGGAGAGTCTAGTTCGAATTCTTTCGAACTACCTGGCCTAGGTCCATGCAGCCATGACAGCAGAGCAGATCCAGGAGCTTTGGACTGTTCAGGGTTTTGTTGGCCAAGGGAGAAGCAAAGGAGAACCTCACCCAGCTGAAAAGGCATACCCACCCACTGGTGGGGTATGTGGTCCTGCCTTGGTTGTGACAGCTTGGGAATTCTTAAACATCATGCTCTTGTTTCAAGTTGTCTTAGTTCTACACACCAGGAGCAGCTGCAGCCGGCCTTAGATGCCTGTCGCAGAGAGCCTGAGATGACAGTCGTAGCTTTTCTCGATGAGGCGGGTTGTTTGCAAGGTGGGCGTTCATCCGACCCGAATTCCCCACAAACACCCATTCTGTAGCATGCTCACAGACTCGTTTTGGTTGTGTCTCGCAGAGTGTAAACCCTCAGGTGAATACATCCTCTTGCTTGGGATTTGTCAAAGCCATCTTGTGCGATCAGCTGTTGGCTCCGAATCCAAATCTCTTCCTGGTCGCTGCGGCGAATCCATACCGGGAAGAAGCAAGTAAGGAAGACCTGGTGCTGCGAGGTAGCGCCACGGTCATGCGCGACTTCTTCCAGGTATCTCAGCTGCGGAACATGGTGGCCGTTCTGTTTTTTTCTTTTTCTCTGTAGGTTCAAGATGTTCAAGGGTATGCAGATACCCTTATTCTCACAGTAGCCAAATTAAGCAGTTGCAACAAACCTGAGAACATCCGCGCTCTGGACATTTCAGGTGCACCCTCTTCCACCTTCCCTCGCGGTGTATGAGTGGAAGTGGCGATCTTGTTTGAGCTCGTTGACTGGGCAGCGCACTGCTGAGGAAGCTGACGAAGAACGCTACGCGCTGCTTTTGCTCAGGAAAATGACCCAAAGACATGCTGAGATGCAGATCTCTGACCATGAGGCTTTGCTCCCTACGCCAGCAACCATTTTCAGTACTGTTGCCTGGTGACTTTGCCAATTGACCCCCTGTGATCCACCGAAAACCGTTTCTAGTAGCTTCTTGTTACTAGTAGTAAGGCCTCTAGAAGCGTCCTTGCTCCTAGTAGCGATGCCCTTTGTTCCTAGTAGCTTCTTGCTACTTAGCTGCTTCCATCGTCCGAGGACGCCCTCCTCTTTGCCGCTGCCATCGCTGCTGCACAACGCTTCATGCGTGACAAGCTGGAATCCAGCTCAGCTGTGTCTCAGCGTGACGTCATCCGTGCGATCCGCCTTTGGAGATTCTTCTGGCAGCGCCATGTCCTCAACAGTGACAGCGCCCCGCGAGGCACGCGCCTTCGAGCAAGTCGAGCACTGTTGCTCTCGTTTGGGATGACCTACTACGTCGGCCTCAACAGCGAACAGAGAAAGCTCTTTGTGAAGACCATTTGTGGTTACTTTGAAGAGATCAAGGCAGCCGAAACCAGCGGAAGCGTGGATTTGCCAGAGGTGCTGGAAGAAGAGATGTCCCTTTACATGGAGCATATAGACCCCGGTCCTGGCATCGCTTTTACCAAAGCGCTCAAAGAGAATGTTTTTGCAATCGTCGTGGGCATTGAGTGCAACATCCCTGTGATGATCGTGGGGATGCCTGGTACAGGAAAGACCCTGGCAGTGAATGTTGCCACCAACGTTCTGCGCGGCGACAGATCAGTGCCTTTCTTTCGACAATTCCAGGCCGAAGGAACTAGGAATGCGTGCCATGAGCTGCTTGTCAGTCTTGTCGTTTCATGAGCTTCAAGTCTGACTTGAGCTGCTTGTCAGGATGTGGCGAACTCCGTTTTCCGGTACCAGTGCTCCAAAGAGAGCACGTCGAAGCAAATTCACGAGCTTTTTGAGAATGCTTTGCGATTCAAGCAGCAGGCGGATTCGAGCACGCGCAGGTGCCCTGTGGTTTTCATCGATGAGGCAGCACTGCCTCCTGAAAGCATGGAGAGCCTAAAAGCCATGCATTACTGGATCGATCAAGGGGAACTTTTTTGTTGCGTCCTTGCCAACAAGCCTTTGGATGCGGCCAAACGAAACCGGTGCCTTCAAGTCTTCCGTGATGAAGCAGATGGTGAGGATCTGAAAGTCTTGGCGGCAAATTGCTTGGGCGTTTCTTTGGAGGATCCCAGCTCTGCCGCCGTGGTGTCAGGCTTTTGTGGTGCCTTCCGTGAGATATCCAGAGGTCAAGAGAAAGGACCTGTGGTGCAAAGTATGCCATTGGCATCCTTGGCTGCGTGTTACTGCCAAGTTGATGCAAGAAGTCCGTAGATCACTCCCGCCATCTCTCACCCCTGCCAAGGAAGGTCATTCTTGAGGAGTTTTGATGATCAGTTTCTTACAACTATATGTATAAATATAGTTATATATATATATAAGTATTACACATATATATATATATATTTATTTATTTATTAAGCTTTTTCCCCAATCTCGATGCCCTCCCCCTGTCCACAGGAAGCCCTTTGCGCATATTTCACCTGCGAGACTTTCACCATTGCCTGAGGCGACGGTTGCTGTGTATTTCAGTGCTATGGAAGGTGCTTCTTTGAGCTTGTGCTTTTTTTTCCATATATCTCAGGTTCTAGCACCTGTAGAGATTTTTCTTTATGTCCACCGGCGTACTTGGTAAGTGCCTCCTGTGCCTTGCGTGCCTTGAGTCGAGGTACCTGCGGCAACGGAACTTGGTGCAGGGGGGCTCCGTGAGGGCTCGTGATGTCTTGCACAGCTTGGAGAGGAACTTCGGTGGTTTGCGCCCGGAGGAGCGAAGAAGCAACGACGAAAGCCGATTACTAGAAGCGTCCCTGCTACTAGTAGCTTCTTGTTACTAGTGAGGCCAGGAGCTACTAGTAGCGTCCTTGCTCCTAGTAGCGATGCCCTTGTTGCTAGAAGCGACGATAGGAGGTTCTTGCCTATATACTATGAGGCTAAGTCAGAATTTCCTCTCCAAGCTTAGCTTCCTCAGCGGTGTTGGCAACTGTATCAGCTTGATCCATTGTCATCCTTCAGGGTCTCACAGTGTTTGCCCTTGCATCACTCTCAAGCTCTCCAAGCTTTTCACCTTAAATGTATCTCCTTTTCACACTCTTGCTGAAAAGCAATCTTTGAGAAGGACCGTGCGTGATGTTCAATCGCAGATGTTTGATCTCAGATGTTCAATCTCAGTTCCTTGCAACATTGCAGGACTTCCGAACATTGGCGGGCATTGTCTTCAAGCACTTGGAGGATGCCACAGGCCCCGAAACCACGTCACCTGTATGACCTGTAATCATTCTGCTGGGTCAGAATGACAAAAGAGGTGTGGGTTTGGAGCTTTTTTCCTGTCTCAAACATTGCAAGCAAGGATTCTAGTAGCTTTTTGATTCACCAAACTTCTTGTGGACTCTGTTGCTTTACTGGGTGGAATGGGAGGGGGCTCTTCTCGAAAATGATGACAGCTTGATGTGAACTAATCTACATATAGTTTAAACATGTTTAAACCATGACCACGCTTCGAACAGAATGACATTCTTGTCCTCACAATGACAGCTTTGTGAGGACCTGACGCTTTGTACTCCCGTGTCCCAACCAGTAGCGGCCGCGTGATCGCTTCGACCCAGGCGGGGCGGTCTCGCAGCCCGATTGGGCCACCCTCCGGTCCACCGTGGATGTGATCCGAGAGGCTTTAGAGGATCTTCCGAAGCTGGAGGCGTGGCGGATGGGAAAGGCCTTCTGGATTCAACCAGGTTGAAGAAGGAAGTGCCATTCTGAATAGTGTTGTAGATAGCGTTCCAGATAGCAGGAATTGATGGGGTATGTTGCCTCTCCCTTGAGCATCGGCCAAAGGACGTGGACCAACCTGACTTCGCACCTTGTCGCTACAAGCTCTTGATCGATGAGACCGAGGCGGGAACGCAGAGAGAAACGACGAGTGACAACATTCAATGATACGTGTTTTTCTTGGGTTGGCAGTTTGCAACTGATTCGTCCAAGGTTGGGTTGCTGTTCCTTTTTGATTTCACGTTGGTCTATGCTTTTTGGCAACAACTGCGCCAAGGGTGCCCCTTCCATTCAGTAGGCTAAGAGAAGCCACCTCTTAGGCGAAAAGACACTTGGGGTTCCGAATCCTCCAGGACGGCAGTGGACTCCGGATCCTCCGGTCCATTGGCTTGCTGGGTGGAGCTCCAGTGCTGGAAGTCTCGGATTTGCAAACGGATCGCAATCAGCTGCACCGGAGCCAGATCGTCAACGAGATCCGACGTGCCGCTGAACGGGAAGGCACCTGCATCATCACCGACTTTGATGAGGTTCTGGATGGCTTCTATGACTTGCTGAATCTTCGTTTCCAGCGAATTCAATTGGGAGACCAGATGAACCTAGCTGCAACTGTGGCTTCTGGGAGCTATTCCGTGCTGACACCTGTGCATCCGCGTTTTCAGCTGGTGGTTTCGATCAAAGCCTCTGATTTGGAACAAACACCCTTGCCTTTTCTCAACCGCTTTGAGAAGTTCTATCTCACGCTAGCGGATGTTGCTAGCTTCAAGGCGTTTGATCTTTGCCACGGCCAAATCAGTCACCAGATGCTTCAGAATTACATACTCCAACCTGTTCGAGACCGCCTTGAGGAACTGGTTCAGCTCATTGGTCCCGCCAGTCTGATTGGCTATCGGGCGGCGACCATGGACTCAGCCATACTTGAAACCCTACAGAACCAAGAGGTGTCAGAAGCTCTGGTGAAACTCGCTGCCACTTGGCAGGATAGAGGAAGCATAGCAGCAAGAGGTCCGCGGAAATTTGAGTCGGAGTCAACTGGCTCTCTGCCTGGCGATCTGTCAGAGCGTCAATTGGCAGATATCCAGCAGCAGAAGGCTCTCAGCAGAATGCGCTGTCATGGCTTTCAAAATGCTGGTAGCACCTGCTACCTGCAAGCATGCCTTGTACTGCTGACTTTGCATGAGAATCTATGGCTCGGCAAATCTGACAGTACCATTTCCAAGACATTGCATGATATCATGAAGAGGTCACGCTTGAATACCGTCTCGATGGAGCCAGTGATGTTGCTGGAGCAAGAGCTGAAACAAGTCGGCATCGTTGCAGGTGGGGTTTGCAGGGTCAGTTGTGGTTGTTGGTAGGATTTCCCACATTTTCTTTTGCAAGGCCGCTGCAGACGTTTGTTTCTGAAGGTTCCATCATTATGTTATGAGAGAGCTCCATTTGGATTTGTCAGAATTTCTGGAAGTTAGCAGATTGAGTAACCTAGGAGATCCAACAGTTGAAGACATCATAAGGCATCACTCCCCCACAAGACAGTCATTTCGATAGGACGCCAGCAAGAGGATGCAGCCACGACGTTGGAAGGCTTGTTGGACCACTGTGGCGGTCTGAAGTTGCCCCTGCGCACAGAGACCCGTGCTTTGCCAAGCCATGACTTGGAGGATGCAGCGGTGAAGGCCTGGTATTTGGTCAACCGTGACGCTGGAAACACAGTTCCGATTTGGGATTCGCAGAAGGGTTTGTGGATTCAACTTTAGGTTGATGGTAGGACTGACCTCAAAGCTTTCATTGGTTGCCGGGCTGGCCTGGTGCTGTTTGTTTCGTCGGTTTTGCTGTTGACTACTCAAATTAACGTGACCGTTCACACTTTGCAGACCAAAACGCTTGACTCTTCAGCTTCATACCTTGAGTTTCTCCTTTTGAAACGACGAAGTGTATTCCCGTCCGAATGACGTCTGCAGTCATTCGAACGTCGTCAGACGCCTCCAGGTTCTACCTCAGGCGGAGTCCTCTGAGTATGTCTTGCGCGTTCCATTGCAGGGAGTGCCCCGCTTGGAGCTCTTGCTCAGCGCGGCAGTGCAGGCACAGGTCGCTGCAGACACTGAGCTGGAGACCGAGACACTGGGCAGATGTGGAGACACCTCCAGGGACGTGCCATTGTAGTTCATTTTGGCGAACCCCGCGAAGATGAGGCTATAGAGGTTGAAAGTTCCAGATTTATTCCAAAGACTTGTT